TATAATAATTGAAGTATGAGAGCTTTCATTCTATAAGTTAATATAATATTTTTCGTCCATCATCTAAAGTAATCTTTATCTAACGGATAATGTCTACTGGACATATCTTACGTGTGTTACCAACTCCAAATCTTAACAAGTAATGTCAAGAATAATATGACACATATCAAAAAAAAGAGATGCTCATATAAGACAATTAAACCAATGAAACATAGTCATATAGAAGAGAGAAAAAATTCTATCAAATATCTCATATGACAAATTGTACTTTTGTACGTACATGTGCTTCTGGCACTAATACAATCTCAAATACTACTTTTATATCACTATTCTTAATATATTGTGCCCATGAATATTGATTTGGTTGGATTTCATTATTCTCATGTATTACTTCAGGAATACGAATAATTCATAACATATCATAAAATATTTGATCGCATCTTAATTGAAAATTAGTCATCTAGACTTACTCAGAGTGTAATTATTCTTTTATTTCGATATTTGTATCGGTGTTGATCCTTCAGGGAGTATATCAAACTTTATTGCTAACTTATAAAAGATCCTTCAGGGAGCGTATAAGAACTTTATTGTCAACTTATAATCTTTTGATAAATAAAATATTGATTGACATCTTATTGACAAACGAGCATTATTATAATCGTTCTATCCATCAATGTTTAATATTAGTGTCCTTCTGGGACTTCTAGTATTCAGTTGAATCTTATACATTGGGATATATAGATATTCTTTAAATAATACTCCATCATTTTCATAATGGCACAATTTTATCTACTCATACAACCATATTATAAAGATGATCATAAATTGAGCTATGCAGCATCAATACTTTATATCCAATATTTCAACCATTTTTGGATATAATCTTCCTCTCATATACAATAGACATACTTATAATATCACATAAATTTTATAGCACTAAAAACATTAAATAAAAATACTTTTCAAATTTTCAAATCAGTGAAATTATAATCTCGCATATTATATAATACATCCTCCAGTCCATAATTTTTTTTTTTAAAACAACCATATAATAATTCAATAATGACCAATCATTAGAAAATTAATTCAACTATTTAGTGATTAACGAACTAATTTTCTCTCAATGTCATATAATAATTAATTATAGTGTTAAAACAAACTTAACACCTTCGGCTTTCAACAATTTAAACTATATCATGCTCAAATCCCTATTAAAATCCTCAAAACACATTCATAATTCTCATTAAACAGGTGAATAATAATTGATGCGTCCATGTTGCAATTTGAACAGACATATCATGCGTGGCACAACAAAGCAACAGAATACTGAATTCCTTACTACAACATGACATATCAAGGCATCATAAGAGAACATAATTCAAAGCCTTAACATAAAACATGTCGGCAGAAAATAATTCCTCATCAATTAACATGACTAACTAATCCACTAATTTGAAACTAGCAGTAGTTGATATATTTGTGAACTTCCCCATTATCATCGTAATAAAACATGAACATATATTGGACATATGATAAATAATATATCAATATCATATGAAGGAATAGATCAAACAGGTAATTCATGAACAGATCTTGATCTATTCAACACGGTTACTGTACATTTAATTATTTATTCACAACACATGTTTTGATATCACATGTTAACTACATCAATGATCTGGAATAAATAATTTAGTGTATACGAAACACTTACTTGATGCGGAAGACGATATAATTATGATCTTGATGATCTCTTTTCTAGGACATACATCAATTCTTGATTGTTACCTTGATTTTCCGTTCGTCTTGATGCCGCCATGGTTCGCTTAGATGGTAGAGTACTCGTGCTGATAACGTGTTGTAATATAGATTGTCAATATGTGAGATAGACAAGATAGACAAAGAGAGAAAGTAGTAAAAGAGAAAAAGAGAGGAGATACGCAGTCAAAACCCTCATCTTATTCATTCACTTGAGCCCTATATATAAGGGAATACAATGTACATGACTAAAGACCTAATGGGCTCCTGGCCTATACCTACAAATCCTATATCTAGGTAATGTCCATTAATTAATATTTACAACAAAATTCACTTAACTCTTTTATTGGCTATCATTAACATAATTGAATTGTGAAATCATAAAATAACATTTTGTACATTCAAGCAAGAAGAAAAAATTAACAAAGTATTAAAATAATAACCGAAAAATATGCAAAAAAAAAAAAAAAATCACTAATAATAGCTAGTTTAATTTTGTTATGAAATTTAGAAGGCGGAGAAAATATAAAAAAGTCTCGTTAAGAAATAAAAAAAATAAATAAATTATGATTTAAGATCAATTTTATATCCAATATTTTATTATATAATTAATATTATATATATATATATATATCTATACATTATTAAAAAAGTATATAAATATGGGTCCTGGGATAAGAGGGGACCCTGGGCGGTCGCCCGACCCGACCTACCCCAGGGCCCTGCATATTTTTATAACAAACACATTCTATTTTTGGAAAATCATTAGATATTAATATGTTAGAGACCTGTGACTGGATTGACGGCAGATCCCTATCCCTTATCCGGTTGATCCTCAAAAGTGGGAGCGATGCCATACGCAAAAAGGTAAAGACTCATAAAATGGGCAATTTACAGAATTAGAAGCCTTTGCACAATTTGTCAACACTCCTAAAACCTCTTTTCACAACTTTTAGGGTGTGTTTATATATAAATAATTTCAATACTCAAAATCTAACTTAATGTTAAACCCAATTACAGTATTGCAAATATTATCAATATAATTAAATGATATCAATTAATCATTATTCTACATCACATCAACTTTAATTCGCTATTTATCAACTCACATAATTTTAACGAACTATCACTTCACATCATCTCTATCATACTTTTTCATCAAATAAACTTTAATTATTTTATTTTTAATATTATCTTAATATAAAATTAAAATCCATTAAGACTATCTTTATCCACTACCCAACCCTACCCAAACCAACTCAACCCAACTTAAAAATTAAAAATTATTCTCTCATCCACCTACACAACCCAACCATACAACCTAACTTATCTTTATTTCCAACCCAACCTAAAATACTTATTTTATTTTTATTTATTTATGTATTAAATATTATCTAAAATTAAATTGTGTAATTGCTTTACTTATGGCAAATTAACTCATTTTTTAATTAAAGTCATAATGATTTCGAAAAATTAGTATTTTACCATATAATTAAAAATTGCCAACAAAATTTAAAGTTTAAATTACAAAAATTTAAATAAAATATTAAAATTAGTTAAACAAGTTACAAACACTTCGAATAAAAATCACACATCAATAACTATTATTAAATTAAAAAATTACAATCATGTTCCAAAACATATCAAATGATCTCTATTTATAGGGAATTTAAAAATACGAATTTCGGGAATTTTATTTTCATTTAAATATAAATTGACCTCTAATAATATAAATAATCTTTTATCTTATCTAAAAAATACATTTGCCCAATAAATATTGAACAAGTGTCTATGTTTGGCCATTCCAACCGGTTGTGACCCAAGATCACAATGTGACCTGAGTCACACTTTTTGGTTATTATTATTATTATTATTATTATTTGTCATCTAGCGGGTGACCCAATACATTGGGTTATCAATAAAGATGGTCTAACAACTAACTCTACTATAAGTCACATAATATCTTTCATACTTTTTATTGTAAATATTAATTTTAATATAAACTTAAAATCTCTCTAACAACTAACTATAGTAAGTGAGTGATTGTTTACCAATTATCTCATCCAAATTTAAATTCACACTCAAAATATAACATCAACTTTAACTCAATTACACTATATTTTAGATTATTCATATAATTAAATAATAAAAACTAATCATCTCTACACACCACGTCAACTTTAATTCACTATTCATCTATTTACATTATTTTAACTACCACTTTACATCATGTACATCCTATTTTTACATCAAATCAATTTTAATTATTTACAAGATCCGAGGATGAGATGGGGGTTGATGAGGCTACACCCCGACCGACCTGTTAATATAAAGGCCCAGATAAAGCTAAAAAATCAATGATCTACGATCCAACTCCAAATCTCAACTTGAATGGACTACTTTGTAAACAAGCACATCATCATAACTTTTTTAAAAATGTACGGTACCCCGACATTGTGGCACGGGATTCTCCGTCACATCGCCACGTAGGCTTTTTGATCCTAATCTGCAGATACTGTGTCCAATATAGGAAACTGTTAGCTCCAAAAAATGGCGGGCAAATCCACTGATTCAAAAATTCATCTTGCCCAAAAAGCAAAACCCTAGCCTGCCTCTCTTTTTGCTTTACCCCATTTTTCCCTCCCTCCTATTTTCCCTCCCTCCCATCTCTCTCTCTCTCTCTCTGTCTCTCTCTCTCTCTCTCTAGCTTTTACTGTTTACATCGTGGAAGTTCCTCTGTTCTGCCGCCTGCTCAACCATGGAGCCTTGATTTCCAAGGTTTGTAATTCAATTGATTGCGTCTGCTTTTTTGTGCTGTAAAAGTTTGTTCTTTGTTTGATTCTCTCTCAGATGTGAATTATTGCTTCTAGGGTTTTCGTACTCCTCTTGCTAGGATATTTCTCTCTGTGTTTTATCGGCTTCTTTTTCCTTTTATTTTCATTTTTCGCTCTGACCTTGTAAAGGGAATTTGATGTTGATAGAGTAAAAGCCAGGCAAAATAATCGGTTACTGTTGTGCAGTGAACATCTGGAGTTCTTTGAAGTTTTGCCATTTATTCTCAAATCTTCCTTTGATTTTGCCCCGAAATCTTTTGGGGGATCTCGTTTATGATTTTCTCATGTAATTTTTGTCTGTCATACATTTGATGGCAGGTTGCTGAAAAAGCAGATACCTTGGAACAAGGGATAATTTTTTGAGAGATTTTTTTATCCGAAATCGAGAAATAGTAGGAGGCCAACTTCATGGGCAAAGTATCTCCAAATGACCGGCAACCAAGAAGTGGGAGACAAAAGAGGCGGATAAGGAATTCAAAAGGCAAGTATTTGAAACCTGGTGCCCTTGCCCAGCTACGAAATACCAAGGCATCAGCGTCTAAATCTTGTACGGATTTGGGAAAGAAAAGAGTCGAGCTTTTAAATGCCAAGCAGGCTGAAGATGCACGTCCTGAGATTCCTCAAGTAAAAAACACAGATGTTATTCCAACCACACCTTTTTCTCCTGTAAGGTTCCAGTTTGCACCTTTATGTGGGCCCGCCGAGCTGTTCAGCCCGGTTAATTTACAGAGCACCCCCAGGACTCCTTATGCCGGACAATCCGAGTGCGAGTCGAGGCTTGAATCTCTCCCGATGGATTTACTGGTATTTGAGCATCTTTTGACTTCACTCTGACTGGCTGTTTAATAACTTAGATGTAGTAAAACATTAAATGTGGGGTATGATTTGCAAATGCATATCCATTCAAGTGAGTTATTGCAGTCAATCAATAGCAACTTATTATTGGTTAACTTATTTGAAAGGGCGTGGTGTAAGCTTGCATCTTTGATAACAATAGGAACTATCCGTTATCTGTCATCTATAGAAAAATTACTTTAACATCTTTATAGTCATGGGTAATGAATGAGCTGGTCTCTGATTGCGTGCTTGTTAGTTTTGCAACCCATGTCATGTACTGGTCAAACTTGTTCGTATCTGGCAGAAAAAAGGTGACACAGATTTTTCATGTGTTCTTCAAAAAAATGCACTCTATTGCCTGAGGCCACTACCTGCAAATGATCACTTGTTTTACCAACTAGTAAAAGTTCTCATAGAAGTCAATCAATGAACTATCTGGAAACAACCCTCTAAAGGGTACTCCGGACTATTCAGTTTGATGTAAATCCTTCAATGCTGACCAAATATCTCTTGGAAATCTTGATATTTCATCAGTTGAAAAATTTAATATTCTTGTTGTTGGCTTTCTCAAGCTTGCATTATAATCAAATACGTATTTGTACCAGTGTGTGAAATTAAACAGTCAAGATTATATCTTCCGACACTGACTATGAACTAGTAGAAGATAAGCTTAATATATATAGGTTGATACAATCAAGAAACTGAATAGACTCAATGCAAGCCAACATGGTAGGAACTATTCGTTCAATGCCAATTCAATCAATCCACTGGGACTTGACATACTGATCTGTAATTACCTCTCATATGTATAAAAATTCTCTATGTAAATGTTACTAACACCATTCAATCGCTCAAGGTTATAAGAACTCAATAATGAAGGAAGTAATGGCGATAGATTGAATTCCCCCTGTAAAAAGAAACAAAAATAGATAAAATAAAATCAGGGTTTAAATATTTCCCATTAAGAGGCTGTAGTGACTACTGGGCACATTTATATATCTTAATGCTTGGCGTCCTTCTCTTGATGAGGATTTATTCTGATATATCCAAGTGGTTATTCAGGTGAAAATTCTTTGTCACCTGCACCATGATCAACTAAGAGCAGTTTTCCATGTCTCACAGAAAATTAGAAAAGCAGTAAGTTCTTCGACCCCATGTTTCTGCATACACTGACTATGCGAAGTAAAAATACTTACACTTATTTTTCTTCAAAGGTTGTGATAGCAAGACAATTCCACTTCAATTATACCACACCAGATAGATCAAGGCAAGAGATGCTGAATACAGTTACTCCACTCCCAACTGATCACTGGCCTTTCATGAGGTATGAATTTTCAAGTCCCAGAATATTGTCTGTCAAATCTGTTGAATTCCTTATATTATTTAAAAAGTAAAAAAAAAAAAAATATTGCAGCAAGAGAAATGGAAAAGGGTTGTCGATTGTCAGCCCCCACACACCAAAGGCACCTAAACATGGTCCCCGGCCACCCTCTCGTTTGAAGTTCACCGAGATGCGGCAGATTGCTGCAGTTCTTTTCCAGGAGTCTTCATATTCTTCCAGGTGTTTTGTGCCGTCAGTTTTGCAAAAGCCCCTCTGCAAATCGTTGGGTTCCAACAGAGTCCTATTCTATGAGGATGAGCTTTGCCAGGCTGTTGCTCAGAACAAACTCCGTTGAACGCTGCACGGTGTCCTTTTCCTTTTTTTGGTAGACTTTTTGCTTGTGTATATATGGACATCCCCCTACTCTGCGGAACTTCATGTAGGTGGGCTCTGGTTTCATAATTATCTTGAAGCGTGATGGAGTTTTTGTGCTGTTAGGTGTTCGTTTAAATAATGTATTACTATACTAGTTTGTACAGTTATCCTTAATCAAAACTACTTGGCTTTTGAGCAGTCTGAATTTTGTGTTCAGTTTGTTTATAGTGGGGTTTGCATGTCTATGCTTATGTAGTTATGTAACTTGTCAAAAATAGATACTAATATGGTGATATCACTCTTGCCTAGAAATTCATATGCTTCACGGTGTTTGATGCTTCAAACTTGAAATTTGCAAATCTGCTGAGATATATAAGTACATACATGTTTTCGGTTTTGAAATTATCTTTGTGATTGAAAGTACTTTTTCTGGCCAAGTGGTCATGGGACCAAATTCCATGGCGTGTGAGTTGTGTATGTTTTTCATGGCTGAGTTGTATCATGCTGCTGAGACCTCTATCTGATGAATCAGATGCAAAAGTTGTTAAATTTAGAAGGCTGATATTTTTGTCTGCCTCAAGGTTATGATAACCATGTTATACATAACATTCTGAACCACCAACAGTATGCAGCTCAGAAAAATAGTAGTATCATGGACAGATCGACTGCAGCTTAGTGAATTTTACATGTTGGAAATGAAGGGCACAAATCGACCTCCTAAGTCCTAAGTAGAAGTTCTTGCAATTTTTCTACTACTCTTTATAAGGAATTTTTATATGCCTCGCAAAGTACTTGATTTTTTATATTTGCTGTATAATTTTTCAAGTTGTCAGATTCCATCTTGTAAGATAAAATCGACAGTTTGCCTCCTAATTATTCAAACCTTGAAATGAACTAGAAGTTTACAACTCAACTATTGATGGGTTTTTAATGAAACCATAAAATTGATTTAGGGCTGTTGGAAGCACAGGAGAAAACGAACAAAATTAGATATGATTTATCTATTTTGAATAATTGGTTTGCCGGTAATCAATTGACAAAGAAGGTAGACGACATTTTTGCATCTTCGCAGCTTTGAACCAGCGGCTATTGCTAGAAAGTTGAAGACACAGTTTTTGTGCCCCTTGGGTGAACTCAACATATAAAGAAGTGGATATATAAAGCATTCATAGAAAATGCCAAAAAGATGTCCAAGAAAGAATGTATGATCAATGGATAGGAGCTCAAACAAAGTTAGAAACAGAGCTAAACTAGCCTGCAAGACATAATCATGTTCGGTTGTTTTCTTACTCGATCCAATGTAACAGACACGAATCCATATTTGCTAGCTTCGAAGATTTCTACTATAATAATATCTGCTCCAAACAAATTTCAATATTGTCCTTTTACAAAACCAAAGCAATTTCAAGAAAATTCTACACACAGAACAGGAAGAGAGATGAATTACAAAAACTCAGAAAATCGTGATTAGGTGTTGATGAGTAGCAGCTGGCGAGCCCGCACGGTAACCTGAAGGCGAGCGAGCGCGTGCATGCAGTGAAGGGCAATGCGTGCCTGCCTCCTCACCACCACCCCACGAACAACGGCTTGTAGCTTCACCAGGCTTCTCAGTGCCCTGTATGCTCGTCTCGCCTATACACATTGATCGAATGAGGTCAAACATTTTAGTAGTTGATAAAAGTATGTTTTTCGAAAGATAAAAGACTTTTGTCAGCAAAAAAAGTAGAGAGTGTATTTACAAGATGGCCCCTAAACAACGATTGAATGACGATGGCGGCAAGGTCTTCTGGGGAAGTGAAATCGGAAGCAGCTGCATTGGTACAAATACTAGTGTTAAACTGATCATCCATGTTGTTGGTATGAACGACGTGGAAAAGATTCGTGCTGTCGTGATTGTGAGACGACGACTTAGAAGATCGGAGGAATAGCTTTCCCTTGATGGCTGTCCAAAGAATTCGGCTGTCTTTGTTACGGGCCATTTTTTATTATGATGAGGTTGCTTAAGCTGTTTGTACAAGTGGTTTGTTGATTTTGGAGCTTAAAAGTGTGAATGATAACAAGAGTCTATGTGTATGTGTGGTTAACATGTTTGGTGAGAGGGACAACGTGCGGAGGTGAAATGGAATTTTCTTTGACGTAAGCTTTTTGGGTGACATGTCAAAATTCCTTGGTGTTGGTTGGTTGTTTCTGTTGTAAATATTTACGTGTGAACATTAGTTCGATATAATCTTGTGGCAAAATTGTAATTTTAGTCTTGTTGGTTTGATCCGGTAACGTTTTTAGTCTTAATAATTGAACAATTTTCCTATTTTGTTCTACAATTTTAAAATTCAACGCAATTTCAGTAATTTGAGACTGAAAATGCAAGAAAAAAATAAAATCACAAGACTTAAATTGCTAATAAAAAATTTTTTGGATGATTTTTATTTGCAATTTAAATCTTGTAGTTTTGAATTTTGTTGCAATTTCATTCCCAAATGATTGAAAGAAGTTGCAGCAAGATACTAAATTACAGGATTAAAAGACAAAAAATTAAAATATTGGGACTAAAAATGCTACGGCATTAAACCAGCATGACTGAAAATACAATTGTGCCTAATTTTGTAGGTACGAGCGATGAGCCCATTGGTTCATTCATCATGCACATTGTATTCACTTATATATAGAGCTCAAGTTAATGAATAAGATGTGGATTTACGGTTGTATCTCGATCTCCATTGTTTTCTCTCCATTCACTTCTATTTTTTTCTCTCTTTCTCTACTTACATATCAACGATCTATATTACAACAGTTTGACGGTTTCAGGCTCAAGTTTCGCGCGTAGGTTCATTTAATTTGTATTATATCTTTTTAATAAAGATAGAGGATTATTTTTTTTTTCAGAATATGCAAAATAAAAATTATTACTTAAAAGTAAATAGTTTATTAAACATTATATTATATCAATTTTATTTAAAATGACACGGGTAAAGCTCACTCATGAAAATTAAGGTAGATAATTTTTTTTTTATTTTTTTTATGTGTGGATATGAATGTCATCAAAAAATTGTATAAATAAAAGCCGTCAAAATATGATTAAAAATATGATTAATTAAATGTATTATATAAAAAACTGATAACAATATGATTTATAAATGTATTACATATGAAAAAATTGATAACAAATAAATAGATAAGTCATGAAGTTTTAAAATAAATATAAGTTAGCAAAGTATTACAATTTTAAAGGTTTTTATAGGCATGAATAAAATCTAACTTATATAATTAAATTGCTCACAAATACGATAATTCAACCATAGTTTTTAAACCCTGCCCGGTAATCGATCCGGACAAATCTCCAGGTCATGGGTCACTAGTTCAATCGTCGGGTCAATTGCTAAATTAGAGAATTAATTTTAAAAAATTTGAAAATTTTATATAGAGTATTTTTGTGTATAAAATTACCTGTTGGGAATATACTGGGTATGTTGTGATTGTGATTGTTGTGATTGATATAGAATATTTTTGTCATATAAATATACATAAAAGTAATAAAATTAAATGTTTTGTGTATATAATTTGTACATTAAAGTGTTAATAATATGTATCTCATGATAATATTACCATATAAACATATATACATAGTTTTATTTAAAAAAAAAAAAACAAAAAAAAAATAAAAAATTAAAAAAATATATATGGGTTGACCCGGCCGGGTCACCCGGGTCAAGGCCGGGTTGACAGGGTTTTGACCGAGTTTGACGAAGTCCTTTGTTGCCGGTCTAAATAGTCCACCCGGTCCGGCTTCGGGTCAGCCGGATCCCGAGTCGACCCGCCGGGCCGGTCCGAGTCAAAAAAACTATGAATTCAACACATATCCCCCCTATATATAACTCGAATGCGCTGAGCCTACGTGACTGCTTCTGGTGCTTCATAATCCTACTTGGCAAAGAATCATGCTTCGTAATTAGGTTTGGACAAATAATATTGATATATTAATAATTAATAATCTAGGTTCGGACATTCCATAAATATTATTTAGCTAACTTAGATATTTTAATATCACTTGTACTAATATAACCATTTAATTTTTTGTAATTTTACGTAGTGAGAGACTAAGTAACTAATATATCCCTGACTTTTGATTTGTTTCTCTTAATTAGCCATTGAAATATAAATGGATTTTAAAAGTTGATAACTTTTGTATTTTTTATCGGTTTTACATATATAATATATCAAATTAATCATCTTTTCATGATCTTCGATTTGACATACATATTGTATATATAAAATAAATAAATTATATTTATCTTTATAATAATAAAAAATAATAATATTTATTATAATTTATTAGAAAAATAAAATTATTTCTCAGTTGATATATTTATGTTTAATGTAGTTATATGCTGTAAGTTAAAAAAATTATTATAATATATCACACTTACACAAGTAAGTCACACAAATAAAAAATGACATACTAAATATATAATAATATATATTTTAATAAAAGGTATTAAAATTTTCAACTACTTTTTCTCATTAATTTTAGATTTTAAGGAAAAAATTAGCAAGCACCCGTGTAATACACGGGTGCGTTGTACTAGTTATTACAAAACACCAATAATTAGCGCATATTACTTGATTAGTTAAACTAGACAAACTCGTCATCATGCATCATTTTCATTTTTCCAAAATTATATACAATGTTTGGTGAAAGATTCTTTCTGTAAAATCAAGTAACGTTTTGGTAAGGAGCTGTGTTGTTACCCAAAGCGCTTGGATGAGATGATTTGAGTCTTTTTCAGCTTAATCAGTGGTCTCGAGGAGCCCTGGGAATGCAGCAGTGTTAAAACTCTTGAGGGAGAGCTTTGCCGTCCTTGTGGTCCTACCCGGCTCGATTTCGGATTAGTCGGTTCCCCTGTGGATCTGGAAACCGGAAGGTCCCCGTA